GCAGAACAATTATATTAAGGGTCTATCAATTTTCAATCAATTTTAATTATAGCTGTGTGAGATCATGTTTAAAGTTTGCTTTTTATTTGCAGAGTAATGCTGAAGGAATCCAGAGTTTAGGTAGTGCACAGTATTGGGTTTTGCTGCCAGCCTTGTTGCATAAAACATTAGGCATACACTATTTTAACAAAAGTGTCTGCCGAGGACAAATATAAATTTAAACTTGTATAAAATGGAGAAACCAAGTATGATCAAAGACAAATAAATAAATAAAATAAAGACAAAAAAAATAGATGTTTTACATGGTAACATTGTTGATGTGTAATTATAGCTAAATTGCAATTAAATGACCTTCCTAGTTTTTAGAATAAAAATAAGTTATTTTCAAATCTTAATGAAATCAGTAAATAATAATAATAATAATAATAATTCATTACATTTATATAGCGCTTTTCTAGGCACTCAAAGCGCTTTACATTGTCAGGGGTATCTCCTCATCCACCACCATCATTGTAAAGAGACACGCACAAATAAACTCAAAATAGCAGTTCCACTGTTATCATTGTACTTGTTTCATATTTTATCAAAGACATTTAGAAGGTGCTTTTTGACATGCCAGAGAGTGTTTTTTTTTTTAAAAAGATGGAAACCTCAGGAGAAGCCTTTGTTTGCAAACAACTTTTTGTTTTATTTTTTTAAACTGGTAATAGTTTTACTTAGAACCAGCTGTTATTATTGTAAGTACGTATTTCTGTGTTTAGAAATTTAGTTAACTGCTAACTTCCCTGTTGGAGCTAGCTTAGCAGTTGTGCTTAGTTTAGCTTAGTGCACATACTACAACAAATGTAATCCTTGTTGTGTGGCTGATGCAAGATTGCGTCTGGCTTGCTACTTTTCTTGGTCCTGCTCCTTTCATCTTTTTCCTGTCATTACCTGTCCTCTTACTACTCTATTCCTCTCAATAAAAAGTGGTCAAAAAGAAATGCACTCCCAAGCATATCCAACTCAAATCCATTTAGTTTTTTAATCTGAACAGCATAAACCACCATAAAATCCAATGTTCACAAACCCTGATCTAAACATCCATGTGAGGTTTGAAATTTGGTTGTCGTCATCTTAGTCATAAATTTTAGATTTCACCAAGCAATTGGTCAGTCGAAATACAAGGTGTGCAGTCACATCTTGGATGCCCTGGGGGTAAGCAGATAAACATCAAATTTTCATTTTTGGGTGAACTATCCCTTTAAGCAGTGATAAAGGCATTGCATTATAAATATACTTTATTTTAATGAAAATTATAATAAGAAGAAATCAGATAAACCGTATCTTGCCGTAGTCGTGTGTTTATTAGTCACGTTGAATCAATGAAAGCAGTTGAATCTTCTGTTTATTTAGCTGCAGCGATAGGCATTTTCTGGGTTTCTTCTGTGAGGCGTATTTGGAGTTTCAGCGCGAGAGCACCCTCTGGCCTTTGGATGGAGATTTACTGCTGATCACAGAACCGTGCTTCACTGAAAGATATGCATGACAATCGCAGCTTCTGTCGAATCGCGATCTCGATTCCATTTCGATTTATCGTGCAGCCCTAGTGTGCAGTATGGCCTGGAATGTGTCTGTCTACATTTATTTTGCTATGTGAGTAAAGATTGAGTGAAAATGTGACGTGCATGCATGAATTCTAAATATTTTTGTCACTTTACATTCTCTCATGTGCCTTATTTGGTTCAGATATCATGATGGATGTGGGCAGAAGTAAAATTAACACACTGTCTTTCCACACTGACAGCTACTCTGTATGAAAGTCTCTTGCCATCATGCTACTGTAACTCTTACATCATTACTATAGCAGCCAATGTAGATCCACTATTGACTTCATGGTATAAATGGATCAGATCTTATCGCTTGTAAGATGACAGTGTAGTAACTCAGTCCTAAAGATCAAATTTGAAAACTAAATTTAAGCAAGTTATGTTATGAATAAACTGACAATTTTAATTTTCTAGTGCTGAGGTGGTGTGCAATAACTGGTGGGTGATTTTCCCTGTCCTCTTCCTGTGAAATTGCTCATATATATTATCCTTAAATATAGGGATGTAACTATTTACTCAACTCACGATTCGATTCATGATTTTGATTTCACGATTCGATTCACAATTTTTTTTTTTTTTACAAAATGAGATTCAAGACAAATTATAAATTAAATGTGTCCTTTTATTATTGCTTGGACAAAATACTGTACGTTTCTTTGTGAAATTGAAATATAACACTATAATAATATACTAATAGGCCTATAGCACTTGTAAATTATTGCTCTTTTGTTGGTTTTGATTGCTTCTATTGTCCTCATTTGTAAGT